GGAATATTGAAATAGCCTGCTCACTGTTTTCCTTGCCTTAAGTTTCTCCCCACTCTGCTGTCAAATTGATTTTCCTTAAGCACAGATGTTACCATGTCATGCCCCTATTCAATAAACTCCAGAGGCTTCCTACGATTTTGGGTATCAAATATAAAATTCTGTTTTAAAGCTCTTCACATTGTGGCCCCTTCCAGTCTACTTACTTCTTACAAGACTTTCCAGTCTTCTTATACCTTACTTCCCTCTAGGTATTTACTTACCATACCTTGAACTCTCTCCCTCCCAATCTCCACCTCCTGGCTTCCTTCAAGTCTGGCTAAAAAATAATCCCACCTTCCACAAGAAGCCTTTTCCAATCCTCCTTCATCTTCGTGTCATGCTTCTGTGATTATCCCCAATTTATCCTGTACACAAGGTGACCTAAAAGTTAAAGGTTAAAGCTGCAGGAAAACTTGGGACATGCTATAATCTTGTTTGTACATAGTTTTTTTTTTGTCTCCCCCATTAGGCTATGAGTTCTTGAGAACAGGTTTTTTTTTTTTCCTTCTTTTTATATCCTCAGCACTTAGCAGGGTGCCTAGCACATAGTAGGAACCTAATAATGGCTTGACTAAGCCTGTTTTCCCTTCTATAAAAACCTCCAAGTTCCTGCTACCATAATTTTATAGCTCTACAATTCTAAGATTGTGTACTGGACCCCCTTTCTTGAGAAGGCATTCTATCCTAGAAAGTTTAACTGAGTGGAAGCCATAAGCTACTGGAGTCGTAAGGAAATTCCTAAGGAAGGGATTACAAAGAGCTGGGAAGAGTATATTACTGAATGCTATTAGGGGTTAGAGGCAGTCAGTTATTGTTAAAGAAAAAAAAATCTCTTTTCCACGTATTATGGCCTCTACTACTTACTAATCACAAATTACCATTTCTCAAGTCTGTTAATCAATATTATGATACTATGACACCTCTCAACAAGGTAAGCATAGGGCTTGGAATAAATTAATTCTATAGACCTGCCCATAACATTTTAAAGTATGTGAATTTTTGTTAAAATGAAAATCAAGGGTGGCACTGAAGGGAAAAAAGTTGTAGATGAGCAGAAGGCACTCTGATGAAGGTACAGAGAAGGAATCCTTCTCAGAAGTCAAACTTAGTCTCTTGATGGTGGTAAGGGATTTTGTAGGTTAATGATATGTCTGGAACACCTCAGGTATCCTTTCAGTGGTATTGCCACCTTTTTTCCCAACTAGTTGCCTCCCCAAGTAATTGAAATTCATACAACAACATCTATATGTATGGCACATTGCTAGCCTCTGGAAGAGACAAAATGAAAATGTAAATTTGGGCAGAAGGAAGAAAAAAGAGGTGGTTTGTTTCTTGCAGATGGGAGACTGAATACAGATGTGTTCATAGGGAACTCCAGACAGACTACAGAATAAAACTAAAGGAACCCAATTGCCCTACAATAAATACTACTGGGAAAAAATCCTTTTGGTTTACTATAAAAATTAAACAAAATATATGTGAAATTAACCAAGTTTTGGGAGTAGCTAGGTGGTGCAGTGGGGCACCAGCCCTGGAGTTGGGAGGACCTGAGTTCAAATGCGATCTCAGACACATAACATTCACTAGCTGTGTGACTTTGGGCAAGTCACTTAACCCCAACTGCCTCACCAAAAAAAAAAAAAATAACCTATTTTTAATTTTTTGAAGTTATCTTCTTTGAAGGCGAGTTTACAGAGAAACTGGTTTTATTTGAACAGAGGTACAATGAAATATTATAGAGGCAGCTAGGTTGCTCAGTGGATAGAGCACTGGGCCTGAAGTCAGGAAGACTTCATGAGTTCAAATCCAACCTCAGACACTTAATAGCTATGTGACCCTGGGTAAGTCACTTAACTTTGATTTACCTTAATCCACTGGAGAAGGAAATGGCAAACCACTCCAACATATTTCCCCAGAAAACCCCATAGCATATTTCTTCAATGTCAGATTTAGCCACTGTTCTCAATATTATTAAGTGCCATTTTCCCTTACTTACATGGCATATTGGATACTGATGTGCTAAGACTAAATGTGGTTGTTCCATTCTCTAATGACAATACTATAGAAATGCTATTAATATATTTTTCTTGCTATTGAATGCTTTCCCACCACATGAAGTTATTCATGAGGGTTCTAGTTCTGTTCTCCCTCTCATCACTTCAGAAGAAATGGGATCATTGTTTGGTCTACTTTCATTATGATGAACATTTCATTTAGCCTTTGCCTCACTCACCCATCCTTATCAGCTTCTCAGAGGATTTGCTTTGCTCAGAGGCCCCTTTCCCTTCAAGAAATATTTTTTTTCCTGAATAAAACAGAAGGAAATATTTATAAGATAAAAACGATGAGATACAACCTAGCAAAAGAATCTTTAGGGTCACATTAGAGTGCTTCCTTAAAACACCGACCCAATCTGCTGCTCTGCACAAAAGTTCCTCTAACAACCTTGGCAAAGTTTTTAAAATTATTCATACGTAAGAGCATGAAAAACATGCAGTCTGGTTCACCAAACCGAAAGGGGTTATCTAGCTGTATGACTTTTCTGAGCAAGGATTGAAGGAACTAGGAATGTTTAGCCTGAAGAAGAGATGGGCCAAGACGGCCAATAGCTCTCTTATAAGTACCTAAAAGACTGTGTGGGAAAGGGATTAGACTTGCTCACTTTGGCCCCACACAGCAGAACCAGGAATAATGGATGGAAGTTGCAAAGAAGCAAATTTAGTCTTGATGTAAAGAAAAACTTCCTTAAAATAAGAATACCTTAAAATAACTGGAGATCTTTAAACAAAGACTAGTTTGTGGGGGCAGCTAGGTGGCGCAGTGGATAGAGCACCAGTCCTGGAGTCAAGAAGACCTTAATTCAAACCTGGTCTCAGACCAGACACTTGACACTTACGAGCTGTGTGACTCTGGGCAAGTCACTTAACCTCAATTGCCTTGCCAAAAACAAACAAACAAACAAACAAAAAAACCAACCAGTTTGTTATAAAAGGGACTCATTTTCTAGTGTAGGTTGGATTAGATTGCCACTGAGGAACCTTTCAAATCCAAAACTGTGACACTGGTCTAATAAAAATGATTTTTCCTCATGGTATAAGCTGGACATAAGAGTTTTTTCAAAGATGCAAGTAAATTCATGCATGATAGCTCCATAATGGACTCAGAAAGAAATGGGTAGGGAATGTTCCCACCTTTTAAAAAAAGATTCAACAAATATCAAGCATCTAAATATGTACAGAAAATTCTTGTATTCACTAGGGGAAATACTAAGTTTAGATAACACAGTATATCCCCTTAGAATCCAGCAGTGGGATAAGACACAAATTATTACGTAGTAAATACTTTACAAAGTGCTTATGAGGCCTCTAGTGAGAAAAGTAACCACTGACTGGAAAGTTATAAAAAGAACTCATTGGAGAAGTTACATTTAAGATCAAAGTCTTTAAAGGATAAATAAGAATTTATATGGTTGGGCCACAGGGTTGGGGAAGAGGAAAATAGGAAATACGATGAGCTAAGACTTGGAGATAGGAACATGTAGGGCATGGTTAAGTAGTCTGGTTTGGTTAGTATACAGAGTCCATGGAGAGGAATAGTATGAAATAAGGCTGGGAAGGTAGTGTGGGTATAGATTGTGGTAGGCACTGAATGCCAGACAACAGAATTCCAAATTCATACACTAAGCAATAGCGTGTGAGCATCTAAAGAGTTTTGGGCAAGACATATGCATAAAAACTAAGTGGGATGAATTAGAAGGAATAGAAAATGGAAGCCCGAGGATGTTATGTTATTGCAATAGTCTAGGACAGAGATCAGCAAACTACTTAAAACTCTATTTAAAAATGTAAAACAAAACAAACATTCTTAGTTCATAGTCCATATAAAAACAAGTGGTGAGCCACATTTGGCTTCAAGGCCATAGATTCACTACCCCTGGTCTAGTGGAAAAGTAATGAGGGCCAGTATTTGAGTAACAACAGTAGGAATAAAGGGATGGATGTTGGGGAGATAAAATTGATAGATAGGATGACCTCAGAACAAATATTTATACCTTCTCACAATCTTTCCCTTGGTGGCTCTGGCAGACAGATATTGGGATGGATTAGTTTCATGGCTATCCTTATGCTCTGTTCTCCCCAGGCTGGAATTATTACAGACGCTAGGCTGAAGGATCTGACTCCTCCCATGCCTGTGATATTCATCAGAGCTGTTCCTGTGGACAAGCAAGACAACCGAAGTACCTATCCCTGTCCAGTATACAAGACACGTCAGCGGGGACCCACTTATGTTTGGACATTTGGTCTGAAAACTAAAGAAGCTCCATCCAAATGGGTATTAGCTGGTGTAGCCTTGCTTTTGCAGGTTTAGTTTCTGCCAGAAGCTCTTGAAGGCAATGAAGCCTGTGCTGGAAATTTCCTAAGGGAATAGACTATGCTGACTGTGCAGTTTGCTTTGGCCATAGGCTAAGGTGAGAAAGGGAAGCAGGTGTTTAAAATGGATCTACAGATTGAATTTGTGGCTTCAGCTGCTAAAGTGAAAGCATTTCCCCTACTGAGGAAAAGGTAAATACTGTCCTAACATCAGACAGACACCCCTAAAGGTCAAAAGAATAAGGCTTCAGACCATTTATTCATCCACACTTAATTCTAAAAATTTTGTCTCTGAAGCACCATTACTCTCATTTACTCTATACTCCTTAAACTACTTAGGAGATTTCTGGATAGGCTGGGTATGTGATGAGAACAAACCGAGAAGCAAATTAACTGTCCTTTTCACTGCAAATAACAATAATTCATGCCCTTTACCTACCCTGTTAGCATTTGAGAAGCCCCAAGGAACTCCCCAAATTCACTGAAGGGATGAATGGAAGGGAGAACATGACTTCAACATGATGTAATTTACTAACTTCTTATTTGACTGTATCTTCCCCAAACCTTGAGACTAGCAGTGATACAATTGAATATAGTGAGACCAAAAGAGACCAACAGTGAGTGTTTATTGCGTAAGCACTGTCCTTGGTGTTATAGTGGATACAAGGGAAATTTACAAAAAACTGATCCCTATATTCGCAATTAAATTGGAACATGAAGAGAAAAAAACTGTCTTTTGAGAGGGAGACCAGCCTGTAAAAACAGTTTTCCTTATGGATTTACTACTTAAAGTAGAATGGAAAAAAAAAATTTTTCACCTCCTACTTCCCTCCAAAAAAAATACTTAGAGTATTTCAAATCTTCTATAAATTCTGTTGAACTGACTGTATTTACTTGTTCCTTCCCCTCCCTACCAGCTGATGCCTAGTTCCTTATCTCATTCTCCATTCATAGACAAAATTTTCCTTATGCTGAAAGATCTACTGTCACTTGAATATAGGGAATTCCTGAGCATCGCTTCAACTTTTCCGACCTTTGCCTTGGTAAAGCAGAACACCTATATACCCTTTCTCCACTTTAAACTCCATATGATAGTTTGTAGGCTCACCTATATACCTGAAGATGACCTTCTGGGTGCCCCCACCATTCCTGCCATCTCAGAGGAATGAAACAGAAAGAACGAGGGTATAAAGTGATAGCTAAACCCACATAAAATCATCTTAGTTAATTGTGTGATTTAACAGATTCCAGTGAATGCAAGAAACAACACAGAGAGATGAGTTGGGAGATGAAGCCCATAGTCTTTTTCCCATTATGGAAAATGCAAAGCCTGACAACCAGTCTTGACCCACATTATCCATGCTTAGGCTGATAAAACACATTCTAGCCCCTCCTCTTTAATCCAATCAGAAGGAAATGATTTCCAAGAATAAGAATATCCATTAATGGGTATAATTCCTTCTGAAGTATTTCTCTATGCGAAAGAATTTTTTCATGGACTGGAAATGGGATTTCTCTACTGATACCTAGTATCTCTTAGGTTATTTAAAAGACTTTTCTCCTGTGTGAGATCTTTGATGTTTATCAAGACTTGAGCTCCAACTGAAGCATTTCCCACAGCAAGAGCATTTAAAAGGTTTCTCTCCTGTGTGAACTCTCTGATGTCTCTTAAAGTTTGACCTCTGAATAAAACTTTTCCCACAGATAGAACATTTGTATGGTTTCTCTCCTGTATGGGTTCTTCGATGATGCCGTAATCCTGAGAAATCACTAAAGCCTTTGCCACAATAATCACATTTATAGGGTTTCTCCCCTGTGTGGATTCTTTGATGTTTTCTAAGGTCTGAGTTCCGACTGAAGCTTTTTCCACAGGTGGAACACTGGTAGTGTCTCTCTCCAGTGTGAATTCTTTGGTGGATTACAAGTTGAGATTTCCGAACAAAGCTTTTCCCACAGTCTATACATCTATTGGTAATATTATACTTCTGTCCTGCAAGGGTTCGTAGTTGGCCTTTCTGGCAGATCTCTTTCTTCTCTTCTCTCCATGAGGAGTCTTGTTCCACTGGACTAGACAAATGTTGACCTAGAAGTTTCCCTAAACTCCTTTCCAGAGGAAGGCTTTTCCCTGCCTTTACTCTATCCTGAGGGTTCTCCTGGATAATAAAATCTTTTCTTACTCCCAAGCTTCTTGGATCATCCTCAATGAATTCATTCAAGGGGGCCTGTGAAGGTACATTTTCTGAGGTTTGCCATTTCTGGTAGGAGATCTTTTGAGATTCCTGGCCCCTTGTATTTTCCAAATGAAGATTCTCTTTGTCATTCTCCCCTCTGTCTCCTGAAAGAAGGAAGGTAACAACATAGATCATTTAATAAACATAAGAAGCCTGATTTTCCAAGCCATATCAGGACTATCAGTCCTAGGTGGATTCAATACTAAGTGGGAAGGCAGGAGGTGAAGATATGTACATAATTATTCACCAAATAACAGTTTCACCAGATCATATGACCTTTCTCCTACTTCCAATGGAATGACTATATATTAAATTTACAATTGCGTTTACTCTGGTAATAAATACGTATGGATTCAGCTTTTAAAAGAAGCTGAGCTATCAAGCTCAATGAGATTCAAAGAGGCTTTTCTACATAGGCACTCAGGGGTGAATCAATAAATATTATTCTGAAAACAAGGAAAGCAGTATTTAATAAAAACATGAAAATGGACAAAAAATAAAAATAGGCAACACCCAGGTTTAATACCAGCCAGATTTTAGAGGAAAAAGGTGGCCTATATTCAGGCCAATATGGTGTGCATGTATGTATATATGTGGTAGCAATAAGAGGAAGTCTGGGTAGATATTTCTATCAGAAGTTGGATTTTAGTAACTTAATTTACTATGCTAATTATTCTCTTATTTCATTATGATGGCATGTATTCCCTAAATTTTACTCTTTGGTATTATTTTATGCTTCTATATTAAATGGAACGGTCCCTCAAGTTTGTTTTTTTTCTCATTTTTCCCCTTAAAAATGCATACAGGCCCACAAAAAAAAACAGACTTGAAAGAATATCTAAAGAGATGACTCTAAGTCATGTCGCTTAAAATCAATCCAAATAATGATCAATTTTCCTTAAAATTCACTTTGCTACGAAGAAGCATTTATCTAATAATAATCACTGGGCAGGCAAAATCCCATTAGCTTCTTAGGACTGCTAGCAGAATTTTATGGTAACTAATTTGTAGAAATCACATTCATAATCTGGAAAAATTACAGAGATAATACCTCTTTGTGGCAAGTGGAATGCAAAGTGGAAAAAAAGTGTTTAACACTCATGAAGAGAAAGATATCACACACACACACACAAAACCCCTTCCAGGTCTTTCATCTTTCATGATCCTATCACATGTATACTGTTTCTTTTTGTTAGGTAGTTTGGAAGTTTATTAAATATTTTAGAGAGCTAGAAAATGAAGCTAAATGAAGAGGAGTGAAGATGGATAAAGGCAAATTGCTAGTTGGCAACAATGTTGCACAATAGTTTACAAAGCACTTAACTTCTAACCCTTAGTTAGATGGTAAAAACAATTTTACTCCCATTTTAAGAGAAAGAAAACATGGCTCATATGTATCTATAAAATATTGTATTCAGAAATTAAAAGCTAGTCCAACTCAAGTCCTGTGGTCTTTCCGGAAAACCAAGAACTCAGCTACTTCTCAGTTCAATTTCTTTAGAATAATTACGATGGATTGTCATGCCAGGAAAAAAAATAGTAATAACAGAAACCACTGTAATGGAATTTTACCTGTTTTTATTAGCTAAGTAAGCCCTGTGTTAGTCCCACTGGGGGAAAAAAAAAACAAAACAAAACACCAGAACAGTGTTGGATATATCAAAAAAAGTATTTTATGCCTTCTGATGATTCAAAACATAGAAAGAATAACTCATATGCAACAGCAGTTTCTGGGCCTGGAGGCAAGGATTTCCTTAGGGTTCAAAGATAAAAAAGCACACTCACAAGGCCAAAGAAAAACAAAAAAAAAAAATCTAATTCTTTTCTTAAGGGGGCAAGTAGGGAGTGGAAAGGAGAGACAAAAATGGCTAGGGAAAGGGTGTCACTCACCTATGCAAATGTTTCTTGGTATTCCTTCATCTGCATGAGAATGCGATCCATCAGGCTCTTCCTTTCCATCTACCAGGTTAGTTGGGTTTGGTTTAGAAATGGGAATTGCTGAGACAAGGAAGGATAAAGATGAATTTAGGTAGGGTAAGGGAGAAACAAGCAATGTCTTCAAATATTTGAAGTTTTTTTGTATTTTAGAGGTGAGACCTATTGTTTGGTACCCAGTGTAAGAAATAGGACCAATGGGAAGTTAAGCAGATTCAGACACAATCAAGAAGGCTATGCAAGGGTTAACATAATCTTAGCCCTCATTTACTATTTCTGCCTGCCACTTTACCTCAGTGCTTAGGATCTGCTATAACTGTTCCAGATGGCTGGGCTTCAATTGATCTTCCATCTCAACAATTTCAAACTGGACCTATAATAGCTCTAAGAGGGCATACTGTCACTTACTCCTGTCTGCTTTGCTCACTTTACAGCAAGTCACATGATAGTTTTTTGACCCATTTGCCCCAATTAGGACAATCCCCCCTATAGAATTGTACTGTTCCAAATTTTTACCTAGTGAAACCACTTTCCCATAATCTTCCAGCATAGCATCCCAGTAAAGCTCTTTCTGAGTGTGATTCAGGCACTGCCACTGCTCCTAGAAACAAAAATGTATGAAGGTAAAAAAAGTTGTTTTTTAAAGTAGTTTCTAAAGAGTAGTGCACATTTTTATAATGCCTTAATATTTTAAAAATGTTCTTAACCTTGTGTGCTTTTTACTCACAGTCACACAATTAGGGTTAGAGCCAGGATTCAAACCTAATCCTCCTAACTCTAGGTGCAGCATGCTTTTCACTACATGACACAAATGAAGACTTTGCCTCTGATCCAACACCTAAAACAAGGAGAAAAACATTATATCTGTTTACAATTAGTTCCTACTAGGAAGTTTTGGGTCTACTTTTCAAATTTATTTTTAAAATTGCAGCATCTACTTAGGACTTTATTTTCCACTGTAGACAGTGAACCCCTGGAAAACCTACTGCTTCTTACTTCTTGATCTTTTCTCCAAAAGTATATAATGCCTCCATTATTCCTGGCTTTTGAAGAGCAGGAACTCAACATTTGAGGATAGAGTTGAGATTGTCCTAGAAAGAGACAAACCTCTTGAGGGGGAAATGGAAGCCACACACTCCACACACAATATTTCTGAGTTTACTTTTCCCCCTTTCTTCTACTCCTGCTTCAGGGTCCAAATTCAAATCATGTCTCTTCCTAAATGGTGGGAAATTTGTGGGCTTGCCAGAAGAATTTTTCCTAGCAGTCAAATTTATAAGAATACAATTCAATTGATAAATGGTCAAAGAATATGAACAGGCAGATCTCAGAGGAAGAAACTAAAGCTATCTATAGTCATATGAAAAAATGTTCTAAAATCACTATTGATTAGAGAAATGCAAATCAAAATGACTCTGAGGTATCACATCACACCTATCAGATTGACTAACATGACAAAACAGGACAATGATAAATGTTGGAGAAGATTTGGGAAAATTGGGACACAATGCATTGTTGGTAGAGTTGTGAAATGATCCAACCATTTTGGAGAGCAATTTGGAACTATGCCCAAAGGGCTATAAAAATGTGCATATCCTTTGACACAGCAATTATCACTTCTAGGACTGTATCCTAAAGAGATCATAAAAATGGGCAAAGGACCCATACGTACAAAAATATTTATAGCAGCTCTTTTTGTGGTTGCCAAGAATTGGAAATTGAGGGGATACTCATCAATTGGGGAATGGCTGAACAAGTTGTGGTATATGAATGTAATGGAATACTATTGTGCTATAAGAAATGATAAGCAGGCAGACTTCAGAAAAACCTGGAAAAACTTGTATGGACTGATGCTGAGTGAAGTGAGCAGAACCAGAATATTGTACACAATAACAACCACGTTGTGCAGTGACTAACTTTGATAGACTTAACCCTTCTCAGCAATGCAAGGATCTAAGACATCTCCAGAAGTTTCATGATGGAAAATGCTATCCACATCCAAAGAACGAACTATGGAGTTTGAATGCAGATTGCAGCATACTATTTGCTCTTTTTTTTTCTTCTGTTTTGTTCTTGTGGTTCCTCCTATTGGTTCTAATTCTTCCTTACAACATACTAATGTGAAAATATGTTTAATAGAAATGTATATGTATAGCCTAGATTGCATGCCGTCTTGGGGAGGGAGATGGGTAGGGAGAGGGAGAAAAATTTAAAACTCAAAAGTTTATGGAAGTGATTGCTGATAACTCAAAATAAATGAATTTTAAAAAAAAAGAAAGAAATGATGAGCAGGCAGACTTCAAAAAAACTTGGAAAGACTTACATGAACTGATGCAGAGTGCAATGAGCAGAACCAGGAGAACATTGTACACAGTAACAGCCACGTTGTGTGATGACTAATATTGATAGAGTTGGCTCTTCACAACAACACAAGAATCTAAGACAACTCAAAAAGATTCTTGATGGAAACTGCTATCCACATCCAGAGAAAGAAATATGGAGTCTGAATACAGATGGAGGCATACAATTTGCTCTCCTTCTCCTTTGTTGTTTTGTTTTATGGCTTCATTCTCATGGTTCCTCCTATTAGTTCTAATTGTTCTTTACATCATGACTAATGGGAAAATATACTTAACATGAATATATATGTAGAGCTTATATTGAACTGTATGCTGTTTTGGGGGGGTGGGGAGGAAGAAGTGGGGGGGGGAGTTTAAAACTTAAAACTCTTATGGAAGTGAATGTTGAAAACTAAAAATAAATAAATTTTTAAAAAAAGTTTTTCCTAGCAACATAAGATTTTTAGATTCCAGACAACAGTCACTATCTAACTCAAAGACAATGTCAATCTGACTGAAGGTAATATGGCATCGTGCAAAGTGCACTGGACCAAATCCAAGTCCCTTAACTCCAATATTTACCAGCTGTTTGATCATCCTTATTCAAGACTAACTACTTACAATCTCTAAAATGAGTTTGGTTCCTTGTATTTACTATCTCAAACAGTTGTTATGGAAGAAATTATATGTAAGCATTATAGAAATATGACTTATTTTTATCCAGCTACGGCTCATCCTCAGGCTGAAATCTCAGACTCCTCAGTAAGAAGGCAACCTCCCAGAAATTACATGAGAGGGAGTACAACAACTCAGTCATGAAGTCTTCTCCCATTATACTCCAGGCACCCTCTCAAATCACCTAGAGCTCCATAAGCCCTGGCACCCTCCACACTACCTCCCTGCCCCCAAACATAGCTTCCTGATGCCCTGGAACAACTCCATACAAGGCTCTATCTCTATAGACAAGATAACCTACTTGAACTCATTCCACAATTAACATTTACATCCAGTCATACCCCAACTCAGTGATTCTGAAATCCCCAATTCTCCCACTGACCACTCCTTTATTCTCATGTTCCTCATGAGGTTGGGTTCCTCAACCCAAAACCCTGCCCCCAACCTCTCACTCTAAAGCTACCCAACCCTTCTACTGCAATCTCTGAAATGCCTCATACATTGGTAATAAACCAGATTTCATCTTAAACCTTTTCCTTTCTAACTCTCCCTTCTTGCACTCATTGAGACTTGGCTCTCTCAGCTACCTTTTCCAGGATTGGCTGCACTTTCTTTTGTATCCCCCCCTTCCCTCCACCATTTCCCATGCACTAGTCAAAGTGAGGGAGTTAGTATACTTCTCATTCTCCATCACCACTTCTAGCTTCTCCCTCTAAGTAACCTCTGCTCCTGAGGTTCACTCAATTCCTATGTAACAACTAATCTAGGTTTTGGTGGCTGTTGTGTACCAAGAACCAGGATACTCACTTTCTTTCATCAATGAACTTGGTGCCTGGCTCATAGTCTTTCTCTTCTTCCCAACTCCTGCCCTTATATTAGAGGACTTCAACATACATATTTGATAGTCTTGCAACATACTAACCTTCCAATTCCTCAAATTACTCATTTCCTATGACTATTTTTTCTATCCCACCACAGCTATACATAAGAGATGGCGATCTTACAATCACCCACAAGTATTCTACATCCATGTGCATGAACTCTGAAATTCTTTATCTTGTCATAATCTGTTGTCATCCTACCTTGCAACTCCAAACTGTTCTTCACCCTCAGTTCTTTCCCAGGCCATCACCCCTAAACTAGCCACACTCTCCTTTTTTTCCCCATTCTGACCCCTTGGTGAACTCTACCCTGTCCTTTTCTCTTGAGTTCCTTGCCTTTTTATACTTGTGAAGGCACAGCCCTACCAAACTGCAGCCTTACATTACTTCCACCATTTGTTGCCTTTGTTTCTACTAAAGTGCTGAATGAAGCTGGGGAAATATCGCAAAATTATGTTGACTGGGTCCATTAGAAATTTGTTACATAATCTCAACTGGGCTCTGGCTTATAAAAGGCAATCCTTTTACACCTCATAATCAATTCACTATCTCATTCACCAGGCCTCCTTTTCTAAAACTTTTTAATGCATTCACAGACTTCCCATAGTTTCTCCCCCCTCTCTACTTTCTGAAGCTGAGAACTGTGCCTCACATTTCATGAGTCACCTGAATAGAACTGATATAGACAATTCTCACTTTATGTAAATTTGCATTATGCAAATTGGACTTTACATAAAGAATTCTGAAAGTAATCTGCCTCCTCAAAAAAAAACTAGGTTAACTTTACTATACAGTACTGTGTTCTCTCTCCACAGCCTCCCACTCCCTCACCAAAAGAAAAACCTTAAAAAAAAAAAAAGTGAAAGCAAGAACAGACATGCAGAGAAGCAGCCACTACCCTTAGATTAGGGACCTGGCTTGAGACCACCAGTACAGAAAGAGAAGACCTTTGCCCCATCCTGCCTACCTGTTTGCATGTCTGGCCCCCATATGTCTGTCTTCTATCCATCTGTACTTGGGTATAGCCAGTCTGTCCCCAGCCCCTGTATGTCATCTGTCTTCTATCTGTGTCCACATCTGTCCCCCACATGTTCTTCCTCATGGTTCCAGCCAGGCCCATATGTGGCTGGCTCAGCCCCTGCATGTTCCTCCTCCTGCTCTCACTTCTCTGTTCCTAAATCCCACTTGTCCTTGAAAAATGTGCTGGCCCTCTCCCTCCATCAGCACATAGCCACCTTCCTGCCTCCCTTCCCCCCTTGCTTCCCCATGTCTGTGGGGAAATGTCACATAAAAATCACTCTGAGATCTGTAGAACAGTCTATTTACGTAAAGTGAGAACTGTCTGGAACTGAACACATGACCTGGGTGTATCAAGAGAGTAAGTGGCAACTCCAAGATTCTGTAAATCTGTCAGTGGTACAAATGAAGAGGAGTCACCTCTTCCTTTCCCTTTTAGTATTTCATACCACCAGCTTCCCACTCACAGGGCCGAGAATAGAAAGTGGCAGATTGTATTGATGCCACATCACTTTTGACTTCAAGAAAACTGTACATTATCACTTGGTCCCTTCCCTTCCACTCTATAAGTACTTGATGAAATATAGCATCCTATCTATTGACTGCAGGGAAATTCAGGAACACAGAGTACTAGAAGGTTGGAATGCACAAGGAAAGAGAAAAATAAGAAAGCACATAAAATGTGAAACCAAAAAGGTGGAAGATAACAGTATGTTTCAATCTAATCTCTTAAAGAAAATTAGAAACTAAATTAGGACAAGATTGTCTCTTCTTCACTTTCAACTGAGGAAATACATTATTCTGGAGGAGAGTCTGATTTTGAAGACAAATGTGGAAATAGCTCCATCTTGTGGGCTTTTTGGGATATTATAACTGAAAGTCATTTTCCACATGTTTTTCAAAATAGGCACACTTGGATCACAGCT